AGCTGGCAGCCGTCTCTTTTTGCAAAAAGGACGGTGCTTAGAGCATGGTCAGACACTGCAAGATACATGTAGAGCACTTCTTTGGGCAAGGGACTAACCAACCTTGGTAAAGAATGCAGATGAACTTTCAGTTTTTGGAAGGCTGCCTCAGCATCCGGCCCCCATTCAAACCTTGCTTTCTTCTTTATTTCCTGAAAAACGTAAAGGCACTTGTTGCCTGACCGGCTGAGAAATCTTCCCAGGGTCGCCAGACAACCTGTTAACTTCTGAACCTCTCGGACTATGCGAGGCGACTGCATGTCAATGACCGCCTGCACTTTCTCAGGGTTCGCCTCTATACCTCTTTAATTTATGAGAAATCCGAGGAACTTCCCAGACTCAAATCCAAACACACATTTCTTTGGATTGAGCATGACATGGTGCCGCCTGAGTGTGGTGAATGTTTCTCGAAGGTTAACCAGATGATCTGTTTGAAGTTTGGACTTTACAATCATATCATCTATGTATGCCTCGACATTCCTCCCAATTTGGTCAAAGAAGACCGTGTTTATCATTCTTTGGAAGGTGGGCGGGGCGTTCTTCAAACCAAACGGCATGACCGTGTAGCAATACAGCCCTTGATCAGTGACGAAGGCCGTCTTCTCCTGATCTTTCTTCCACAAAGGAATTTGATGGAAGCCAGAGTAGGCGTCCATGAAGCTCATTAAAGCATGGTCGGCTGTTGAGTCGACCAGGCTGTCAATCTTAGGCAATGGATAGCTATCCTTGGGGCACTCCTTGTTCAAATCAGTGTATTCCACACACATTCCCCAGGTACCATTCGGCTTCTTTACTAACACAACGTTTGCAACCCAGTCTGGGAAATAACATTGCCGAATGAACCCTGCATCAAGCAACTTTTTAACCTCGGCGGCGGCCGCCTGGCTTCTTTCTTCACTATGGTTCTGCTTCTTTTGCTTGACCGGCTTCTTTTTCGGATCCACAGGCAATTTATATACAGCCAGGTCAGGATTGATGCCTGGCATTTCATGAACTTCAAACGCAAAGATATCTTTGAATTCCTTCAAAAGTTGGTGAAAATATTCACCCAAAACTTCAAGAGCAGTCGTCCCAACCTTGAATGTTCGGTCAGGACGTGAGTCGTCCAGGACAACATCCGTGTGCTCGCCAGCCGAATGAGGGCGGAATTCTTCTGACTGCTCCTCTGCCAGTGATTGCTATCTTTTTTCTTTTCTCTCGGCCCCCGCTTGGGTAGCCTTTCTTTTCTTGCCGCCTGCCACTTGGGCAGGCGCATTCTCCTTGATGAGTTCAAGGTCAGTTCTTTCACCACTTGGGCGAGCAGTCGCCACAGTGGGTTTGATATCCGAGAGGTAACACTCTCGTGCCATCTTTTGATCTCCCCTTAGGGAGCCGACTGTTCCATCATCCCTCTCAAATTTGAGCAGCATAAGAGAGGGGATAATGACAGCTTTAGAGTTGTTCAGGGTAGGTTGTCCCAATATCATGTTGTAAGCCGACAGTTCTTTAACTACTAAGAACTGAACCACCATGTGACGGCCATCCCCTTTCTCACCCAGACGGATGGGTAGATCCACTCGTCCCACTGGGTGTACGACACTTCCCCCAAACCCTACTAAAGGGTGAGATATCGGATGTATGCAATCAGTTTTGTACTTGAGCTTTGCTAAGCACTTGTTGCTGATGAGATCATAGGAACTACCGGTATCTATGAGGATCCGGCCAACTCTTTAGTTGGCCACCTTGTATTCAATGACGATGGGGTCATCATGCGGCCCCTTAACACCTCCCAGATCCTCTTCTGTGATGACAATTTCTGGGAATGAACTCTTGGCGGTCCGTCCTTGGTGAACTGAATTAACATCTAACCGCCTGATATTGTCTTTGTTGCCCCTAATAATGGGGCCGCCTCCTGAGAAGTCGCCGGCTATAGTGTAGACTACTGCGTCATCAGTATCAGAACTGTCGGCCGGCCGGTGATTCTTCTTGGCCGACTGTTTGTTCTTTGGGGGAGCATTCCCCTTGGTCTTCTTGACATAGGAGTCAAGGTCGCCTTTTTCAACTAGGCGGTCCAGGTAGCGCATGAGGCTTATACATTCATTGGTTTCATGACCAATGTCCTCTTGAAAATGACAGAAGTTATCTTGGTTCTGATTGCTTGCAAAACCCTTCATGGGGGTCGGCTTCTCGATTGAGACCCGACTCTTGATTTCTTTGAGGATAGCTTGGCTATCCTTGTTGAACGCTTACTTGGGAGAGTATGGTTTGAATTCTTTCTTCTTTTTCTAGGCCGGCTGTGCAGAGGAGTCGGCCGCCCAGACTTCTTTTTGCTTTTTCACATCTTTATTTGCCGACTGCTTTGGTCGGCTTTCTTTCTTGTCAGACCTCCTTCCATCCGATTGTTTTCCAGTGTTACAGAGATTAGTAGCCTATATATAGGCTTCTGCTTCAATCAATTCTTCTTGGAGAGTCGCAACTCTCTTTCGGACCAAGTCGAACTTTAAAGTCGACCCATCCTTAAGACCTCTAAAAAAGTCAGTGTAGGCTACCTCATCCCGCAGCCCTTATATTTGAATCCTCATCAGGTTAAACCGCCTGATGTAGGAACGGAGTCCCTCCTTCTCACCCTACTGAATAGTCCCTAAGTCTAGGGTCGTCTTTTTAGCAGGAATGTTCATAGCAAAATTGGAGGTGAACAAGTCGGCAGGTTGCCGAACCATTGTTGTGCGATTCCCTTGAGATTTGCTGGGAAACACTTGCACCAAGTGGGATCATCCAACCCTTGGAGGTACATTAGTGGTGAACGCCATTAGGTGATCTTCTGGGTTAGTAGTGCCATCATAGGTGCCTACTAACACATTCTTCACTTTCGTCGGCTGGGCGACCACAATAATTTCCTTGGAGAAGACGGACGGCTGTTCTCCAAGTCTGAGCAACCGTAGTTGCTAATCCAATGGTTGGACGTTCCTTGCCGCCTGCCCTCCAAACAAAGGAGGCTGCAAGAAATATTGTTGTTGCGGTACGTATGGTACATTCAGTACCGACTGATCTTTATGAGATCCGGACCGATGGGAGGTACCGCCTGTCTGACTCTCATAGTTTGATTGAGTATACCTCATGGAGATATTATGTAAACTATCTTGAAAATCTGAAGTAGAGGCCGACTCTGACAGTCGGTCATTCTTCTTCTGCTCTAGCAACAATCGAGCATCTGAGTAAGTTTTCTTTCACCCATCCGCTTGAACATGACGAATGGGCTTTCTCTTCCCTGGTGAGGGAAAACGGTACTTTGTTAAGTCAATCACAGGCGGCTCCCACTTCCTATAATTAGGGTGAGTAGTCGCCTCTCGACCCTGTACAGGCTTCCTCCTTCCACACCGGGAAAGTTTTCTAGCCGACTGCTCCTTGGAGGGAACAGGCGTCTTCTTATTAATGAGATCCTGGATCTCCCCTTTGAAGTTATTCATGAAAGTCATGAGTTCACTTCTAGTGATAGGGGCAGATCCCTCGGCCGCCTGTTGATGTTCAAGCGGCTGACTGGCAGGTTTACTATATCCAACCTGACAATCTTTTCGTTCCTTCTTTTCAGAGGAACGGGTTCTTCGAGCTCGTAAGGTCCCGTCTGGGGTCGTGTGAGTCTCAACCTCGACCTCATTTTCAGTATCCTGGTCACTATAGACCTGAGGGTCGTCCATAGGACGCCTCTCACTCTGGTTTGGTACAGACTGTGATGCCATCTCGAAAGTACTCTCCCCACAGACGGCGCCAAAATTTTTCGGGGTGTTTTGATGTCCTACGGGAGAGTTACAATTCCGGGACTGGTATCCTTGCGCCTGTACCTGCAAAACAACAGAGACTCCTTGTGGTGGGAGTTCCGCCTCCGACGGTCAAGTTAGTACTTTTTTGAGGAGTAATAAATGCGGAAAAGTAAAGGTTGGGAGATTTGGTTCCTCTAGGGGAGGAGTGATCAGTGTGTTTAGGTTCTCTAGGTTAGGGTAATTAATTGCTCAATCCTCCTTAATGAGGATTAATTAGAGTATTTATAACCTTGGGAAATGTGTCAAATACTAGGTTTAGGTTAACCTAGGGCTGACTGGGCTTCCTTTGGAAATTGGGCCTAGGTGGCCTGTTTGGCATACGGAGGCCACATGGCGTGACTCAACTGGTCCATGGTGGGCGGATCAACGCCTGACACGTGGCAGGCTTCTATTGGCCCATGTGGCGGACACATGGCAGGGCCTGATTGGTCCACTTATCAGATGATGATTGGTAGGGAAAAATCCCCTAATCAACTTTAATTTAATATAATTAATATTTTTATTGAGGTTTACAAACGTTCTACTCATGATATAGTTAGAAAGGATAACAATCGACATATGTAGATATTTTTTTGTTGCAGATGCGACAAGTCTACTTTGGGATATTATAGACATCTCTACCTTTTTAAATGTATGACTAAACACTTATAAATAGTGTTGAGACAATAATACCCCTTAAAATATTTATTTATATATTTATCCTTAAATAAATATATATATTTGTTCTAATTTTATGAATAGTATTGAGGCAGTTATGCCCCTTAATATATTTATTTAATCATTTGCTTTTTTTAATGTTAATTGTCTCTTTTTTTTGAACTATTAGTAGTAGTATGCGAACATTTATACACTAAAAATATTTGTTTACGTATTTTTCATTATTAATGCCGGCAATGACATAAGGCCAAATGATAAAATAACTCTTCAAATATGACTAGATATGGCACGCGCGCGTTAGTCACCCTAGTTAGATTTTGTAAATTTATCGGTGCAATTATGTAGAATATAATGGGCTGCCGATCAAGGCCGCTGAATATAGTGTGATATAATGCATAACCTAATTCTATATTTAAGAAAAAATAAAAATAAATCTTGAATTTAATACTACATGAAACTAGACGACTAAAAGTAATGCATGGCTACTAACTAGTACAAATTATTAACTTTTTTTTTTTTTTTTTTTTATCTATTTTTGATAATTCATTCAGTGGCTTAACAGTCACTCGAATCTAGTACAAAACTTATGACTTTTCCTAATTCCAATTCAATAAAGGAAAAAAAAAATAATAATCTTTTTGCTACAAATAGCCTTGGAATTATCCAACTTGAATTGAGCCATTGTTTCAAAGTCCTTGGCATGTGTCGTTAGATGTTTACTGAAGTTGGACAACAATTATTACTTGGCCTTCAATAGATATGGACATCCTCGCACCTAGTGATTAAGTACTAACAAAATAACATCCTTGTGAACCTGCAAAAATAAGAAAAAAAAAAATTTCTTATGAAACAAAACAAATAAATTGTTTTTATTGTGTAAAAGTAAAATTAAGATATTCAAATTAACCTGTTTAAAATATCATAGAAAAAATAAATGACAATTTTTTTTTAATCATATCTGAATTAAGCTTTAGGTAATTTAAATGTTGTTCTTCTTTTAAAGTTTCACAACTAAATTTTAATACTTTGTAAAATTATAAATTAAATATTAGCATGGACTTAGACTAGATATTCAGGTTATAACTAATGTACTTAATTAATTAATTAAGGTGTAGATTTTTTTCTTAATTTTATTTATCTACGATATATTAAGAGAGAGCGTATTAACACGTTATTAATACGTTATTCACTAGCTAAAAAAAATTAAAAAAGTAATACGCTGTTGCTACGTACTCAGTACATTGTTTATTTGTATATTTTTACAATTGTTTTATATTAAAAAATATGGAGTATGATTTGTAAGAACGACATTATAGCATGATTAATTATTCGCATAATTTCTGAAAATATATATATATATTCATATATAATAAAAAGAAATTTATTAAGTTAAGAATAAACTCACTTGGATTTACAGTGACAAGAATTGCAGTCCCTCCAAAAGAGCAAGTGCCTCCAGCAACTTTGGTCCTTTGCCAATAACTATTAAAGGCATAAGAAGCATGTGCTAGAAGTGTGTTAGGATGGTAACATTGGCCATTTGGTTGTATTGGGCCACAATCAGCACCTGATCCACATGCATAGTTCATAGCCTCTTGGATAATTGGGTCCGGTACTGATGGTTTCGCGACACACCAAACACCCCCACCCGAGCCACGTCCACCACCACCACTGGGTGGTGATGGAAGTACCGTTGGTGGTGGATACACTACTGGTGGTTCGAAAACTGGTGGACTTGGCTCGAAAACTGGTGGGCTTGGTTCAAAGCCTATTGGAGATGGTTCATTTTCTGGTGGACTTGGAATGCCACCACTTGATGGGCTTGGAATGTTGTAACTTGGTGGGCTTGGGATGTCACCACTACTTGGTGGGCTTGGAATGCTGCCACTTGGTGGGCTTGGTTCATAGTTAGGTGGGTTTGGTTCATTCTCCGGAGGCTCAGGAACGATGCTTGGTGGGCTAGGAGATAAGTTCGGCGTGGCAGGGGAAGGTAAGACATCAGTAGGACTCGAAGGAGATGGGCTTGAAGGCGGTGTTGGGTTATAGTCGACCGGGCTTGGAATAGTAGTGGAAGGGGTTTGTGGGTTGGGTGGTGGGTATACACAAAATGGTGGTGTATTACTATTGTCAGGTAATGATTCTGGAGCTAAAGAATCATACGGTGGTAAACTAAATGGGGAGCTTACATAAGCTTCAGCATTTGATGAATCTTTCACTGATACATCTAATAGCATATTCAAGTTTTTTGCCAAATCCAAAATTTTCAAGTGTTTCATATTTTGATTCTTAGGACTTGATAACTTTCTAGACAACATAACTGATTTCCTTGCATCTGTGAACAAACAGATTCAAGTGAAATTACATTAGGAAATCAACAACATCAAATGTAGCAAAAGATGAAACTTTTATACAAGAAATTGAACACTTACCACAATGTGTGAATAGAAGGAGTACTAAAATGAGATAAACAAGCCTCATCGTCGTAAACTTTGAACACTCAAATAGTATAGATGACCACTGATGTAAAATGGTCACTCATATGTAAACTGAAGTCGGTAGTGCAAGAGTATCCAGGATTATTATGAAGAGCAACAAGAATATATAGAACGTATGTAAGGTCGTTTTGTCGTAATATATATAAAAGGATGATTTTGTACCCAGAACTATACAAGATGTGCAGATGAAGAAATGCTAAACATAGAACCTACTAGTATTTTAGTGTATATTAGATTCTGTTAGCTACTGGGAAAAGAAAATATTGTGATTTATGCTGTAAATTTGTTAGGACCGTGTTGCATTGGTTTGTTGCATTGGCATATATGCTTAGCTTAAGACTAGCAAAAACAAGAAAAGTTTGTGTTTTTGGCTCCTTTATTTTTTGCTTGCTTTCTACTTAAGATTGAAAAGTTCCCTTAAACATTTGCATTCTTTGTAGTTGTTTTTGGCAAGAATTAACAATACAAGCTGACTTGTAACTTTTGATAAAGTAGTTTCATGAAGCAGTGGAAGAAGATGATGATTTGGAATTAATATTTGTCTGAAGGTAATATATAGTTTGGCCTTTGCCGGGTTGTCTATTTGTGTCAAAGGCTAGTCAATGAAGGAAGGCATCTCACCTTGGCCTGTACCTCCCATCCTGAGATGCATGACACTTATTTTAAATGTTGGTATGAGATAAAGACAACTCACAGGTTGCTACATGGTCGAGATTTTACTCTAGATCGAAACGAGACACGTTAATATATTATAAACGGTCAATTAATGTATGTTTCAATATTTCACGCATTATCATTTGTATATGAAAACAAGTTAGTGTATGGCAACTTACACTCAGACCTGTTTGGTTTACATCAAACCAAGCGAGTCCTTAATGAGACGAATTTTTGCCTAGCTAATTCAACCAGTGGCACAAAGCTAGACAGATTAGCCACCTAACCTTAGGATAATAGCTGAAATATGACATGGCAATTATTTTTTTTAAAAAAAAAAAAAAACTATTCTCTACATTATAAACAATGGCAAGGATTGAACTTGAATGAAAGGGGGTTTAGGATTTCAAAAAAAGCAGGTCTTCTCTTTTTTTATTTGTATTTCTATGTCTAAGCTTTAAGGTTGTTTATTCACCTAATTTTCACAAATTTAAAATTAATTACTTAATATATATGAACTTATCTAATATTATTAAATTTTATGGTAAATTGAATTTGGCTACTAACTTACCTCTCATTAACCTTTATTATGAAATATCTAAACTTATTTTTTTAGAACTAATTTCATTTTAATTATTTTAACCGATGAACTTATTTATCCAAAAATTCAAAAATGTTTATATTAAGAAACCAAGGGTAACTTTGACTCTTTATAAGACGACCTTATAATATTTAACAATAATAGTCCGTATTTAACAATAGAAATTTGTTCAAGTATTAGCCAGCATAACAACTGTTTCGGGGTTTTCTGATGTCCTGCGGGAGAGTTACAATTCCGAGACTGGAACCGGACGCCTGTACCTGCAAAACAAATGGATGCTCCGGATGATTGGAGATCCGCCTCCGACGGTCAAGTTAGTACTTGATTAAGGAGTAATTAATGCGGAAATTAAAGTGATTGGGTCTCTCTAGGTGAGAGTGTTTAATGTGTGTAATCTGCGTTTTTTAGCATGTCCCCTCCCTTAATGAGGATTAAGGGAGGTATTTATAACCTCGGGAAACGTGCCAATCTAGGTTTAGGTTAACCTTGGGCTGATTGGGCTTCCCTCGGAAGTTGGGCCTAGGTGGCCGGTTATCCCAGGTGTCATGGGAAGGACATGTGTCGTGTCGTAATTGGTCCATAGTGGACGGGTCGTTGCTTGACACGTGGCAGGCTCCTATTGGCCCATGTGACGGACACATGGCGGAACCTGATGGGTCCACTTGTCAGATGGTGATTGGTGGGGAAAAATCCCCTAATCATTTGCCCCTCACAGGTGGCACGTGACTGGTCACGTGTTACCTGTGACAGGTATCGCCCTGTAACAGGCGACGGCCTGCTACAGGTGTCACTCGGCGAGAGGCCGAGAGATTCTCCCGCCAAAATTTTGAATTCTGGAAGTGACCCTTCGCCTTCTCACTTCGCCTATATAAAGGAGTGTTGACTTCGGTCATTTTCACACTTGAAAACTTTGTGAGAGAATATTCGGACCCCTGAACTTGCTCTGACATTTTGGACCCTTTCTGCCTACCGCCTGCTCTGACAAGCCGACTGCAAAGGATTTTCAGAACTTCATCAATCGTCACTCGTTCAGGTAATCGTCGGTTCTCTTACTCTTAATTTTCTCTTTACTTTATTCTTTTTTGAAATGGCACCACGGAAGCACACGACACGACCTAGGTTAGTGATCAGCCGGTCACCGGGGACGGCTGAATCTAGAACTAGGAGTGCCGCCTGCCCTTTTCTGGACCCATCTTTGCCCTTTATACAAAGTCCGACTGTATCTGTGTCTATGCAGAGCATGATGGCCAGAACAAAAAAGACTGTCAGGATCTCAAACTCAGACAGCTCCTCCCACAGGGTGCCGATTAGTGAAACATCTGACCAGGCGCCAGATGTGGAAGTGAAACAAAGCGGCTTGAAAGCCGGCAGTTCTGAGGGAGGAGTCAAAGTGACCCCTTCCAATTTTACAGTTGACAATTCTACATTCTCTCCTGCTCCTTTTAAAGGAGAGGAGGCGGGCCCCTCCGGGAGAGGGGAGGAGTCGTCCTCTTCGGACTCGTCAGAGGACGATTCCGTGTCTAGCTCTTCTGGCCATGCTTCTCTGGACACAGAAGAGAAAAACAGTCGCCTACAAGAGGCGAGGCTTTCTCACGCAGTTGAGAAGGGGGACGATTGGGCGGAGCCATCCGCCTCTCACCGAGAGCAAAATACCCCCTACTACTGCACGGTACCCCGGGGCCGGATCACGGCCATGCAAGAGAAAGTGGAGAGCTTTATCGCAAACCACACAATGGGCCCCGGCTTTTTAGTGTTCGTGCCGGATCTAGAAGACACAGTCGTCTGGCCGGCTGGTACCAGTTATGATGGCGCCTGATTTGGCTGCTACGAGGCGGCCATCAAGGCTGGGCTGCGCTTCCCACTACATCCGGCTGTTCAGCGGATCTTGGATGGGTATGAGTTGGGGTTATGACAGTTAGCCCCGAACTCCTGGGTCAACGTACTCGGCTATGTGGCCGGGTGCGAACTGCACGGGGTGGAGCCGAACTTCGAGGCTTTCGCCCACATGAACTACCTCAGCCGGACCCCTAAGGCAGGCGGTACCGGCTGGTATCAATTGACGAGCCACAGGGGCTACCTCATGACGAGAGGTAAAGCAAACAAATGGAAGGACTGGCGGAGCACCTTCCTTATCATTGAGAGTTCAGACACAGAGCTGAACAAGCGCTTCAACAGGTGGAACAGGAATTCGCCCCTTCTTGCAGGCGGCCGCAGCATGCCGCCTGTTCCCCCCAAGGCTAAGAAAGAGATCCTAGATAAAGGACTCTTCAAAGTAGAGTCGAAGGTGAACTCTACTTCAGGGGTACGAGAGCAAGTACCCCTGCACTGCGTCCCGAGCTTCAAATGGCTCTACGACGAGTACTTTTTGGCCGCCTGTGGCCTTAGTAGTCGGTGCTCAAGAGGTAGCCGGCCTGTCGAATACTCTGTTGTTCCATGCATTTCTTGTTATGACTTTTATTAACTTTGCTATTTGTTTTTGCAGCGGACGCCATGAGCAAAATTACCGCCTCCAAGACTGCGGCGGCCATGTTGCGGGCCTCCATCATGCAACAGTCTTCAACCGACTCCCCCAACAAGGGGGCACCCTTGGTGGGCTTCGAACCTTTCACCCTCTTTTTGGAGTTGTGTTTATGCATATACTGACTCTTTTCTTCTTTTTTAGACGGGCGCTCCAAGAGCTTCTTCTTCCCAACAGCCGGACCCCAAGGCCCGGAGGACGACTGTTGCGAGCTCTCCTGGTTCTGCCAGGAAACATGCGGCGGCTGAGAAACAGCCGGCCACTTCTTCTAAAACTCCAGCTGGGCCACTTAGAAGTATGAAATTATCCTTGTAAATTTTAGACTTGCTCCCTTTTTTACTAGGTCTAATCCGTTTGTTTATGCTTGATGCAGCCGGCCCTCAGGAGCCTGACTTGGTCGAGGTGGCCAACTCTATGATCAAGGTCGTTCCTCCAGCTGAAAGGGAGGCGGTCAGGGGTGTCGGCACCCTTGACCTAGACGGGATTGCAGGGGTCCTTGCTGAGGTATACTTAGCATATTTTTGAGTATTTGAATTCCAGGACGCCTGTTTTCTTTTTGTTTGGAAACTGACGCATGTTCCCCCTTTTTACTTAGGCCCTGCTCCGAGTGAACGGCCTTCGCAAGCCGCTTGACCGGAAGAACAAAGAGGTAAAGGCTGCAAAAGCTATGGCCGCCTCTGACTGTGATAAGGCAATGTTTCAAATTGCCCAAAATGAAGTTCTGACCATTGATATTCTTTATTATCTGGCGCAGGCTACCGCCGCTATCCGGGCTCAGTTAGAGGCGGCCCAGAAGAGGAATAGCGAGCTGGAGGCGACCATCAACAACCTCAAGGCCGAGCTGAGACCTCTTCGCCAAAAGATGTCCTCATACGAAACCTTGGAGAAATCCTTGGCGAGCGTAAAGGTACGCCTGGTGACCCAGGAGAAGAGTCTTACTCAGGAGCTCTCGGAAAAGGCCGAGCAAGAAAAGAAAGAGCTGGTTCGGGAGATGATGGAAGACTCTGCTCAAATCCAGCGCATGACTTGGGGCCGCCTCTTCCCCAATGTCGACTTTGCCTCATGGGAAAAAACGTACCGCCAGTGTTCTGATAGATATAATCAAGAGATCCTGGCGGCTGCTGAGGAAGAGGCGTTGGAGGAGGTGTTGGAGGAGGAGCCGGTAATGGCGCTTGTGCCGCTTGGGGGTAATGCATCAAAGAAGGATGCAGCTGAAGCCGAGTCCAGCAAGAAGAGTGCTGACCAGGCGGCAGCTGCTAATATTGAAGATCTGCCCCCTTCTTAAGCTTTATGTCTTCTTTCCACGACCTGCGTGCCGTTTGTTTGTATTTACCCGACCAGGGGGGCGGGGCTCTGAATATTTTGCCGGTCTTTAATGACCGGCTTCTTTTTAATGAATTTTTTTGTTTTGCTTCAAACTTGTTCAAGTATTGAATATTCTGATATCCAATTGTACACTATACCGACTGTTTTACATGGCCGATAGTTGCAGACAGGTACAGATAGTTAGTCACGCCGCCTATGCCCCTGGACGACTGGTCGTCTGTTTCCAGGCTAGACGATCAGTCGGCCATTTATCCAATCGGTATTCGAACCATTTTAAAGACTGGATCCCCTTTAGGCAGGCGGTCCTGTCATTTGTAAAATTAACCAAGTAGGAAAGTGGTTTCCTACTTGTCATGTTTTTAGGCTAGGGACTTTAGGCCGTCTAGGCCGACTGTTCCCCGCCATATTTAATCTAGTGTGAGCCAGTGCTGTATGAACACCTTTTTAGTTTCATACTAAATTTTTAAGGAGTGACCAAGTAAACATGATTGTTACCTAGTCGCCAAGTAACTGAGTAGTAGAGGTATCAAGCGGTGGATACCGGTTGTTCCCCTTTATTTGCCAATGTTTGTTGGCTTTTAACTCATAGGTTGTTAACCTAGCAGGAGAAGTGGTTGAGAGCCCCTGTTTGCTAAAAACAGGCGGACGACTCATACCTTTTAGGCTCCATACTAAGTTTGAGAGTGACTATGAGTTAACTTTGGTGTTACTCAGTCGTCGTCACTCCTGCTTGAGTAGTAAAGGTACCAGGCGGCGGAGGCCGGCTGAACCTTTTGATTCGCCAATGTTTGTTGGCTATTAACTCAAGAGGTACCCCCTGCATTTATCCCAAGTAATACAGGCGGTCATCTGACTCAGATGTCAACTGCTACCACTGGTTTGGTTAGTGATAGAGTTATCCTTGTCTCAAAAACGGCTACGTGGTTGCCCTTGGGGACAGTCGTGTAGGTGCCGTGTAATTAGTTTATAGAGCAATGTTCCACCCAAAAGGGAGCTGCTCTCTGTGACGAATTTCATCCGGAGGGATGCCGCCGGACGCCTGCTATGATGTTGGGACAGGTCGTATTAGTTTTGAAGATTGGATCAG